AACTGTCCAGCTGTCAAATCACATCAAATAAAACACAGGCCAATGGTCCCTGAGAGCCGGATCACAGCTGTGTCTGTGCGCACTGACTGGGAGTGCACGTTTAAATGTACAGTGAACCCACCGGTGCCTGAGACCCTGTATGTGTGTGTGCGTGTGTGTGTGCGTGGGACTAACTGAATGAGAGGATGCTGTAACACAATACACAAGGTGTGAATTTAATGAATGAATATGCGGAGTGTGCATCACTGCAGGGTGTCTGTGCTGCTGTGTGTGAGATACGTGGCTCTGTGGACACGCCCCTCGGCTCTGTGGACACGCCCCTCGGCTCTTTCCCACTCACACTGAGAGCGTTTCCACACTGGGAGTTTTACAACCGCGCCTGTGCTGTGAGTGTTGGACGGCGAAGAGTGGATCTGGATTAGTGTAAACATCGCCGTGGCATGGCTGTTGTCAGGAAGCGGTGTGTGTGACATCGGGTTCCTGGCCAAACATGCGATGGTCCTTAAAGGCCCAACATCCCCGCCTCACATCTGCTCCGAGCTCCGTCTTTCTCACACCAGCACTTTGTCATTTTAACAACGATCCATCCATCCTTGAAGTAAGAAACAGTCCCAGCCCACGGCGGTCGTCACGGCACTAACGCTGCGGCTACGTTCTAACTTCACCTCTGACTGAACCTCCAGGTTTAGCTAACAACGTTTCACGATCAGTAAAATCATAAGATTGAACTTTTCTAGTAAGGTCGACCTTTAATTGATGTTTTTGGTTGATTAAGAAACACAGATTTTATTTGTTAAGATTTTTGCTAATTTATTATTAACAAGGTCCAAGCAGTTGTTTGATGAGGTAGAGTACAACAGTATTTACACTAACGCTAATATCAATGGTAAAAAACAGTGAATACCTCACCTACCTCAGGACCAAGTATTTTAATTTGAGTACTCAATACAACGTGCTGATACAGACATATTGTTTTTCAATAACTTCTGAAATGAATTCAAAATGTTCTTTTAAATAAAGATAAATAAACACATTAAAATCCAGGTGACCAGAAAGTGATCAGAGCTTTAACACCAGCCACATATTTGAACTCGATAGATAAAACCAGACCAAACAAATCCTACAGAAGGTCGCGCTCCTGTCTTTGTCCCTGACGTTAAACTTTCTCTAAACTCCTCGCATCATCAACCGACTTAAATAAACTATCAAAGTCGTAAAAAAGGAAAAGCCGTTACGGAGTATCGGGGTCGCTGGAGCGCTGCATGTTTGAGTACGAGAATCTGAATCAACCAAGTATCGAACAGATGATCTTCTCGCCCACACACAAATATTCTGAATTGTTTCGAATGTGACTCTGTCCGGAGTGGACCGTAGTCTTTTCAGTTGAAATGAAATGAGTCAGGGCAACGACTGCAGGGTGTGTGGACCGTGTCACGGTGTCTGAGGGCGTCTCTCAGGTCGGAGAAGAGTCATTACACACCACATGCTGCTGACTCAAAGTCAACCTAATATGTAACCAGTGCTAAATGACTCTCACAGCACCTCCGGTGGTGGAGAGGCTCACAGACCGGTGGTTGCTACAGTGAACGTCTTGGTGAAGTATGAGAAAACAAAGGTCAGCGTTCGGTCAATTTTTTTTTCCACTCTCAGCAATGTTTATGTCAACGGTTTAGCTTTGGGAGCAATGAAGAGGGGACTCGGAAGGAGTGTGTCTCTGGCAACAAACATCAGCAAATCCAATCAAATCTTTACTCCCTCAACACACACACACACACTTGGCCCCCTCCACGTCTCCAGAGACCAAACTAGAAGCTTGGGAAAAAGATGGCCGCCCTTTGCCCCCTCTCTTGCCCCCTGCATCCAGCTGAGGGAGGTGACGGAAGGAAGCTTGTGCCCCTCAGCAACCCTGCCCTACTCCCGCGGCGTGCATCCCAGTACACTAGCATCAATCACTTTTAAGGACGTGTAGAGGCCGGAGTGAAGGACAGGCAAATGCACTGGGAGGAATGTTCAAGTTTAAAATAAAACTCATCGAGTAATAAAGGAAAAAAAAAAAGGAAAAAACAGGACGTGAAGACAAAATATGCGGGGCATTCAGTTGTCCCCCAGAAGGAGAGAGGAGCAGAGAGCAAATGAGCAGGAGGAGGTATCTGGTAAAGGCATTGCCCCCGGGGTCAACAGCACCAACATCCCTCATGCAGCAGACACAGAACAACAGGCCGAGTGGAGACTGCGTGTGTCTGTTCTAGAAAACCAGATTAGGGAGTTTTAATGTGTGTGTCAGGATCACAGACCTGAATGTCACATGAGGGAGAGCAACTGTGCAGATATAAACATTTCTGTTTCTGTTTTAATCGGAACAAAAGTGACGGACTTGATCTTTTTATTGAGAAAAATATAAATGTATTTATACTAGGAATTAAATTAAAAAAAAATAGGGCTCAGATTTAGGATATTTATAGTGTTATTTAATTTGTGAAATTAATCAGATGAAAAATGAATTTTAACCCACGGACCAGAACGATGTTTCTTCTACGGTCCATCCACCGATCACTGCTCAAATACACAGCCGAGTCACATGTTGTCATTTTTGCGTTACTAAAACGACCAGAGATTTAAAATACCATCTCATTGGAGAGGCTTCAGCGTCAGGTCAGACTCCCAGTTTGTGTCAGAGCAGCAGACAGCAGGTAAGTCTGTGACAGACAGCTGACTAACACTGGTGGACCGTGTGGGAGTGTCGAGGACAAAGGCCGTTCTACCATCGAGAGGAAAAACGACTAAAAACCACCAACTCTTTGTCGCTCAATTTTCACTTTGTTTTCACATAATTTTGTTGACATTTTTCCATATGAACTATCCCATCATTTTGATTGGTTTACTGTCGCATTAAGGAATGTTGAGTTATCCCATTCATCACGATTAGTCATGATTAATCATTAACAATGATCAGTCAAGATGAATACAAATCTACCCTGTGATTAATCAAAATTAAAACCTCCTTGAACCTGTGTCGTGTTTGAGATGCAGGAATAAACGACCACCTGTGTCGTGTTTGAGATGCAGGAATTAACGACTAAACGAGTTCTTACCTGTGGGGCAAACGTCATGTCCGTTGGGCACCTCCTGCAGGGGTATGTCATGAGGGTAGAGGGGCTGAGAAGGGTAAAACTGCTGCTGGGGGTGAACCACAGCCGGCATGTGGCTGTGGGGGCCCAGTGCCACCCCCCCACTCTGCCTCTGCGACAAAGAGACAAAGATGGAATTGAATTAATTTATTTGTCGTATTTACACACAGACTGGTAACATGAGGGGCTTCTTCAGTGGGAGTGGGAGTGGTGTTTGGTAGTTAACTTAATTTTTTTTTTTTTTTTTTTTTTGGAACGTCGGGGGCGTG